GGGGGGGGGGGAGGTCGCCAGAATAAATTCCGGAAAAAAAATTTTTTCATCTCAAATGTTTGGTTACATTCTTTCTGGAGTGAGTGCCCCCCCAGAAATTGAGAGCCAACTACGGGCTTGCCGCACGGACCTAACAAATGTTATTCACATATAAGACAAATTTTACCGGAATATATTACATTTTCATAGAAATAATTAGAATTACACTAATAATAATATTATTCGTGTCGCCGATCGTATTTCATAAAACATCTGACAGTATCACTGTATCCGCAAAACATTGTTAATGTAATAATCGGAGTTCCTTTCCCTAACTAACTAACGACAGGCGGTTTTAATTGTCAAGGATGCATGAGATCTTCGTGAATATTATAAAGTATTTAATATATATTTATTTTGAAACTTGATGTTATTTTTCTCAATCTGATTGGCTTTCAGCAGTGCGATTTCAAACGCTCGCATGATCTGAGCTGCATATAATTGCAGGTGGGATTGCTCGCTCCAGAGGGTGACAAAAGGCAATGGGTACGAGGCTGAGAACTTCATCTTTTTTCTAACGAACCATGAACACATAAGTGCATGCTGACCATAGACCTGGCACAGACCGAACTATTGATTCTCAACTTCAAGTAGCGAACAGTTTCAATAAAAATATGATCTGCCCAAGTAAACTAATCATAGTTTGTTCATGAATGGTCCAGTATCGGACCAACTAAGCACAAAAATGAGAAGGAATAAAAATACCCCGCACACTTAGAAACGTCTTGCATCAGGAAAAAGTAAACATTATATTTTGTTATCTTGTTAATTACTGAAATATTGAGTGATGAAACGTCTTTTATTTGGAGTATGTTTTGTTTCGTAAACAAGAAAACTACCTGAAAAATTACACAAGGGGAACTTCGAAGTTCTTTTGCATTTTTCATGGAGTTGTATCCCTTATCAATCAGCAACTTTCTCATTATGTTTTCTTGTCTTATAATGATAAAACTATATATTTTGATAACATAACATAAATTTCTGGAAATCGTATTTCAGGCCTTAGTCTCCCTTGAAGAGCCCCTCTTGTTAAAAGTTTAGGACTACACCGCTGGCACAGAGGGGTGTTATGTAAAATCCATTCATACTAAAATTGAAAATTTGCCCAGAATTTCACTGCGTCAACCTTTCCCTCACGTGACATATCTGCACGAATACATGAAAGAAATGAATGAGAAAGAAACATACAAAAGGTGAGAAACAGCCAATGCCCACTGATTTACTGCAGTGCATGACTTCCTTTTAACTTAGGATCGCCCTCTTCCCAAACTCTCATTGCTGGTTGGAACATCTCGTTCGATAGAATTGAATGATGGACATTTCGAGCGAAAATCGTTTACATATTTTAAACATAAACAACTGCTATATATATATATATATATATATATATATATATATATATATATATATATATATATATATATATATATATATATATATATATATATATATACATATATATATATATATATAGATGCTTTTTCGAAGGTCTATCCAGTCAGGTTTAAACTATATATAACCATTGTTTCCATCCAGGCGCAGACTAGCATCATTAATGGAATCGGGCTTTGGCGCATAAGCCCTCCCCCCTCCCCCCTATTCCATTGACAACATTGAAGCAAATTCGCAAAACCCCCTGAAAACGCGACTTAAAAGATTCACTATGATATAAACTTGGCATGCTTCTTTTCGTATATCATTAAAACTATAATATTTTGTTCGACTTGCAACGTTGCAACAGAATAAGTACAAAAAGTCAAATAATACTTAATAACTATACGATACTGAATTCTATCATGAAAGGGCATCGCCTGGTTTCCCCACCGCTCGTAGCTGTTTCTATCAACAAACACCCTTCAACACTCTGTGTAACATGAACTGTAATCCACAGAATATTTTTACCGAGCTAGTTATAAATCGATCTTTCAGTCAAAATACTGCATGTATTTTTATATTTGCTTCGTTTTATTGCAGGTCTACACGGAAGCTTTATACTACCAAATTCCAACTTTAATAAAGAAACTCGAAATGACAGCAGAAATTTTTCGTTTTCGATTACGAGAGGCAAGAAGAAGCAAGTTGAAAAACTTTGACTCAATAAAGGGAGCTTTAATACAACGAGCACAAATGAAAAGCCAAGAAAACCTGACACCCGTAGCAACTGTTGGGCTAATCACGTCATCTGATAAGAAAAAACTGGATGATCCGACTGAGTGTGTTCTAAGCGAACATCTCTTGTCTGTACAGTGTGAGGGAAATTGCAAGCAGGAAAAGTTTGTTCAAACCAAACGAAGAGTGGAAGCTGCAGATATAATCGTTGATGATGAGGGACCTGATTTTGACATGAAATTATTAATGGAAGTGCTTGAAAAAGAACTACAAAGTGATGGGTACCAATGTAAAATATGGTCAGAAAAATGGAAATGCTTGTATAAGAGTAACTACACACGCAGGGAGTGCCGCTTCGAAATTGTGGAGTACTTTGCTGAGTTGGAATGGACTTAGTAAGAAAGAAAATGCGAGATGTAGTCGTTGTGAAGCATATAATTTTTGGAATATATTGTGTAGAACCCTAGCTCAGTGTAGAGCGGTCAACATTTTTCCCAAGAACCTCCTCTAACATGCATGTCAGCAACACTACTGCAGATTTGCGGTTGGCACGTCAATACAGCCGCCATTGGCTAGTTTATGCATAGCAGATGCTCCATCCAGTCCTAATTTTGAGATCAGTGATGTCTACAGGTATTGAAAAATAAGCTGGTTTGAGCGTTGCGAGCATTTTATTCAGATTTTATTCAGGATTAATGGGAGCTGCAGACTGTATACTCATTATCCTCATTTTCAGTTATGTTCATTTGAACAAACTTACATTTATCACATCTTACGCTCTTTGCAACCATCAATGGTTGTTTACTTATTGCTAAGATCATCCTTGGTCTTGAAATCGACTTTATTGATCAGCAAATTTTGCTTATATTCCTGTTATATCTGGCTTGTCACGATCTTAGCAATTTCATGACAAATTAATTGATTATTTTGGCGGCCAAGAGAAAATATTTTTTCACACGAAGTTCATTTTTTGTCTGAACTTAGTATTCTCTCTGTGCTAGTACTTCACACTTGATTCAACGAGCGTACAAACTAAGTTCTCTAATTTCAACTCAATCAGACTAGTACTTCCTGTGAGATGTCCCGGACAGTGAGAGGAGCTCTTCCAGTTTAATTTGCCCTGCCAAATACTGCAGGTTTTCTCCAGGTACACAGGTTTCTTCGTATAGGCTATGTAGTAGCGGGCTTCGGTTGCGTAGCTGGCAGAGCGAAGCGCCTTTCACGGCTAATTGCTCTCTTGGGTTCCATTCTCGCTAGGGACTCATGTCAAAAGAGTCTGTCAACGCTCTGCCAAGAGTCGTGGGAAGCGCCCTGGTCGTGGATTTGGTCCGGGCACTCCGGCTTCCTCTCACACTGATAGTTGACAGAATGGGTCAGGATAAACGTAGTTAGGAAAGGAAAGTAAAGGCCCATTTACACTTGCAATTTTTGCGGCGATTTCTAGTGCGATTTTCCTCTTCTGATGAATGTGAACGACTGGATGAGTTATGAATAATCTGATGGGGGTACATATAGGCCAGATGATCTTGATACGCGGTAAAGTACTGGCACTAGTTGTCAAATAGAAATCCATTTTATGATTAAAACAACTGAATATCTCCTGTTATTTACTGTATTTCGATTCCATATTTTTGTCAGAGATATAGTTCTCATAAGCAAACATAAT